CCTTGCTGCAAAAGACCATCTTCTCACACCTTACTGCATCCCAGCATCTTACACAAATCACACTTTTTGACATGCACAGATGTCTTGTACACAGTTCTGGTAAAGTAGTCCCTTTTACTCCTTTCTTGCTGTGATGGAAGGCAGTTTGTTTTTGTCTGACCACCTGTACCTCAGAGTGTTACCGGTATGGCCTTCTGTGCAACACCTACAGAGCGTACAATATCGGTTTAGCAGGTAAGGTACATAGCAGGTACCCAAGAGATTTAGGCTTTTCTCATGACTGTGCCACTTACGTCTGTAGTGAAACAAAAAAAAGAGTAAGAGAGGCAACAGAGCTACTTTATTATGTAAGAAGATTTGCAAGGCTTTTATTTTTGTTTGTTTTGTTGGGGGTTGGGTGTTTTTTGTTTTTTGGGGAGTTTTTAATATCCCATTGCCCTCCTTTCAAAATGGAAATCTTATCTGTTCTTTTTGCTTTTCCTGGCAATATCCATGTAAAACAGAATACCAGATTAAAAAGTAGCTTTGCAGGAACGAAAGAGCTGAAGCCCATTTTTTTTTTTTGTCTGAGCCAACCATATATTAACAAAATTGTGTAGAATTTTTAAAATCCAGTGTCACAAAAAATTACTGCTGTGTTACAGGAAGGAAGGAACTCTGCTAAACAGTTGTACTGCTTCAGCATCAGTTACTTCACTTCTCAGAATAAATACTAATGCAGGTGGGAAGAAACCAAAGGCTTCTCACTGACATTTTTTATTTAGATGGTCTCTACATCAAAAAGAAGAGGTATAAGAGGTTCAAGTGCGTTCTTCCTTCATCCTTTACCTTGTTTCACTCCTGCTGGTTTTCTTTTGACTACATTTTCCCATCTATGAAACTATTGTAGGGAATAGAGTTTTCAAAGGAGACAGAATAATTTTGGCCTAAATCCTTAAAGCTAACTGGGTACCAAACTTCCCATGAAATTAGGAATTTATAAGAGAAGTTGAGAGTTCCACTTAATCTGGGAAGATGAAACATACTTTTTTGAACTTTCACCTCTTTTGTGTCTGCATGCTTAAATACATCCATTTTGAAATTTCTAAATCCTTTTAATAAGGAAGATGGCCTTTCAACTTCTGTAATTCTCCCCAATTAAAAAAAAAAAAAAAAAAAAAAAAAAAAAAAAAAAAAAAAAAAAAAAAAAAAAAAAAAAAAAAAAAAAAAAAAAAAAAAAAAAAAAAAAAAAAAGGATATTTCCAGTGAATAAGCCAAGTTTTCACTGTTGTGGACAAAAAAAAAAAAATCCAAAGGCAGACAAAGAAGTGTTTAACCAGTTGTCATTACCTAAATAACTGCTGGTTGACTTATATACCATTTTAACTGTATAAATAAATGCAGATATATAAGTACCTTAGTAAGAAAGGTGGATTTGTGCACATACTTCATTTTTCTGCTAAACTCAGATTTGGACCTGAATCCTGCAGTGACTTTGTTTGGCCAGATGCTTGACTTTGTTTTCAGTGGGACTATTCACAGTGTATAAAGCACACACAACAATCCAAGAGACTTGAGTCAGGCAAGCCTTTCTAAAAGACCTAAAAATAATTTATATATACCTCTTTCTCCTGTTAAAGAACTTTCTAGTTGATGTGCATATTAGAATGCTAAACTTTATGAACTTAAGGATTAAAAATACAATAATAATAAAATACAAAAATAGTCCACTTTATGTCTGTATTGTTACCAAAAATTTACTCTTTTAAAAATTGCCAAAAAAAAAATCACTTCTGGGAAACTATACAGGCGAGCCTTGGGCCAAATCTCTTTTCTTGATATTTCCAACAACTGCTCTGTTTTACTTCTTCTGCTTCCTTGTCATAAGTATCCTGTTTAGCCTGTTTGGCTAAGGACGGTTAGATATTATTCATTGATCTCTCCCCTTCTTACATTATCTTGAATCCTAATTAGCGTTTTTCAAGTCCTTTTATTTTACTCTTCAAACAAGCTACAACAGACATCACTCTTCCCTTTCTATAGAGCTGTTCAGAGCCATGGAAGAGCTGTCATCTTAAATTCTGGGACTAACCACAGTGCCCAGCAATTCTGCCCTAGTTGCTTTCATTGGCATTTTAATTAAATTATTTCCCCACACACACACACACAAAGAACATGCAATTCAAAGTGCCTGGGAAAGTGTTAAGTCACTTGATGCTAGAAGAGATTCTGTAAATAGGACTGGGAGCAGTCCTTTAGGTGTTTGTAATTAATCAGGCACCAAACACTTGGAGCTTTTGGATGCACTTGTAAAAAGCCTAAAAATGTAAACAGTTTTCTTTCCCCTCCCCAGGAAGTCTTAATGCACTAAAGACGTAAGTGAAGAAGTTAAATTGAAAGTGATCAAATCAATTACACTTCAGATCAGACTGTGGAGAGGCTGTTTGGTTCTCAACCAAATGGAATTAGACTCCTTGTGAAGGAGGTATTATTATTTCTTGTCAGGGTTTCAAAATGAGCGTATGAATTCATAGTAAAAAAATTAACAGTTTTTCTTTTGAAAAATATCCTAGAACACTTCAGGGGAAAGAGTCTTTGGAAGCTGGTATTACCAAAAGTTACCAGACACATTTAAAAAAAAAAGGAAAAAAAAAATCATTGTAGCCATTTCTTGTTCTTCTGATCTGACAAAAGAGAAAACAGAAATGAACAGGATATTCTCCTGCACTGTAAGGCAAAGAAGAAACCCTCCTTTTTAATATAGTATATTCTTGGATTCAGAATTTATGAGTTCTTTCCTGTAGGCTGAAGTTTTTACATTGAGAAAGCTATTATGAAGTAAAAGCATATAAGAAACAAAATGCAGTGGGTTTTATCTTGATGTAATTAGTTGAAATAAATCCATCTGAGAGCACAGGATATTTGGAGGCAAAAAACCCAATTTTTTAGCCAGTGGAGATAGGACAATTTGTTTCCAAAGCCTCTGTGCATTAGGGGGAAGTGTCTGCTGCAGTCAGGTCTAACCAAAACTTCACAGATAGAAAAATAAGCCACCATAATGAAATGTGATTACTTTTTTTCTAATTTGGAGAAGTACTTTGTAAGACCAAGTGCTTTTATGTTTTAGTCTTTCCAGTCAAATTGTTTGTTTGATCTGGGGTCCAGATCCCTCTTAGCTTTGACTGTACTGTCACCAGCTTATGGAAAAGCTTTGGAAACCCCTTTAGTATCTGGCCCTGTGTTTTTTAATAGGGCAAATTTCACCTGAAAACACACTGAACAGAATTATTTGTGATGGAGTGAAGAAAAAGATTGTGTCTTAGCTTCAGTGCTGAAAATACGGTAAGACACCTTGCTATAAGGAGCTGTTATATTAGCAACACTAACAGAGTCCCTGTGGCTCACTGGAGCTCTTTGCCAGCAAATCCCATACATGACAATGATAGCAAGATCAAATTTGTCACTGGAACACTAATAGTGAGTAACATTGTGGGATTTTTAAATGCTTCCTTTTCAACAGATGTAAAATGATCTAAAGATATTTTTTAAGTTACTAGAATAAAGAATGCATAGTCAAACAAATTAACTTTTGCTAGTTTCCAAGTCTTGCTAAATGTAACATTCTTCCAATAATTTGGACAGCAACTAAGTACGTCTAACTTTCCTGAAAAAACAATACATTAAAAGTGAGCAAAAGAAAGCTGCTGTTGTTTCAGGAATCAGAAAAGAAAAGGTTGTGATGTCTATCTATTGACTAGAGGTCTGCAAACCTGCACCTCCAGAGGTGCAGCCTCTTAGCCCTGAGGCTGGAGCCTACTTGTATGAGAGGGCTCTGTACCTCTCCCGCTGAGACTGTTCAACAATTCAAGAAACAAGTAATATAGGGAGCCAAAATTACCCATCTACTGGGAAGGATGGGGGCGCGTGGTTGGCTTGGTTTTGCCATGCTCTCAGACTACTTTTGTATTTTCATCAAGTGTCTGCCTAGCTATCCAAACACTACTTAAGAAGTAGCTAGAGCCCAGGTGTTACTCTGTCATTCCTCGTGTTCAGCCTGCCCTCCGAACCACTAGATGACGTATTTGTGCTCATTCTTGATCTCCCTCTCTGGTGTCATTAGAGCTTTGATTCTTTTGCCATACCTCTCACAGACACCATTTTTTTTTAATTAAAATGTCTATGTCTGCTGTGGTATTTTATGCAATGCCTGCTCCTGTAAACATGTGTGAGGTGAGTAATTGCCAGGCTGGTTCCTCAGGGGATATAGGGGAGGAATTGCCAAGTTTGTGGGTTCAGGTTAGGTTTAGGACTGAGAGAGATGTGGAGCTCTGCAGATTCACTAAGTTTCAAACAGTCCTAGGCATGCACAGAAGTTCAGGTCCCTGAGGTACATGATTACAAGAAAACATAGTTGTGTATAGCCTTTAGCTACCTAAGGAATCAGGAAAGGGAGTCAAGGTTTGAGGAGCATGTGCTTGGACTTTGATATTTGCACTGAACACAAGTCAACTTTAGTGAAGTCAGCCCTCAACTTCTTTGCAACTGTTCACCCATCTTTTAATTGGAAATAATTCCCAGTCTTGTAAACCTCCAGATCAAGAACCTCCAGATATGTACCGAAATAGATACAAAGTGTTTTTTAACAAGAAACTGGTATTTTATGGGATGCCTATGAAGGTCTTATCTTCGAGTTTGTGGATAATTCTTGTTCTTTTAAAGGCTTATAGGTTGCTGTTCAGAACGTCAAAACACAGCAGAAAATGGCTACTATGGTTTGAAATCAGAAAATAGCCTCAACTACTAAAGCATAAAATAATTAATGTATTTTAAACTGAAAGAAATGTGTATCATTCTGGCACCTACTGCTTGCATGCTGGATGATTTTGCATTCATGAAAGTCCCTAAAAACAAATCTTCCAAGACATCATAGCTTCAGACCAGTAACCATCAGAAAGGCTGAAACAAAGTTGGAGACACTGTGGGAGTAGCAAGAGAAAGCTATAAGGAATCAGAAGTAGGACATACTTTTCTGCTTTTTTAACTCTACACACATACATTACCCACACATGCACAGACTCCTGCAGCAGTTGAGTGGTAGAGTTGTTTGGGAATTTAACCACCAGCCAGAGTCTGTGCACAAACTATGACAGCCATGCTTATCATAACAATGACTTTTAAAGAACTTTAAAAATAATCATAACTGATTTAAGTAATTTGATCATTTGAACATTAAAAATAGGTTTCTTACTTCAATTGCAGTAATGCAGCTTTCAAGCCCATAAATCTTAAAACCAACTACCTGTTGGAATCAAAGTTTTGCAATTGAGTTAGTCACTGTTTGCAATGTTGTTTAAAGAAAGGGAAAAAATTAACCAATGGTGAAGTATGAGTGTTTCTCTGGATGGCCCGATCTGTTCTTTCATGTCTGTTTTGTTCATTTAGAAATACAAAATGTCACTGTGCTATTTTATTTCTCAATGTAGAAAGATGTTCTCTATTGGGTTGAGGAATCAGGACCACATTTCACCATAGAGGTTATTTCACTTGAATTTCAGCCACTTTTAGAGGACTTTGGGGCATTAGAATGCATATATTACACTGAAGAACTGCTAGGATTTTGGTGGCATTTTTTGTTTTTCAGAATAAAGAACTAATTAAAAGAGGCTGAGATTCAATTCAGCATCGAAGTCGTATGCACCTTCCGTAATCTAACAAATATGCCCAGACCTAAAACCCCTTATCATCTCTAATGGACATCTTTGGTGGCTCTCAGAAAAGTGACCCCCATTATACATTTAATAGAGTCTAAATAATTGACACTGGTTAGGGAATGAGAAAGAGTTTGAGGCTAGTAGCAAATAGCACATTATTTTTCTCTGTGCTTTCTCCTGTGCCTCACTCAGTTTACAATGAAATTTAGCCACTGACTCCCACCACTGTTTTTCTTGGAGAGAATAATAGGATGAAGAAACATAGTGATTAAATGTAAAAGACAACCATGCATTGCGTTAGGAGCTGCATTCCATGTCTTTTGTTAACAGGAACTACAGAAAAGAATAAAAAGAGGTGCTTAGATTTACCTAATCTTTAAAGTCTAAAGCCATTCTCAATTTCTACCATTACAACCTCTGCCCCACATAAAAATATAGACCTCCATAGTCAAACAGGATTTTTTTTAAGCTCTTTTAGTTCCAACTGGTAACACTACTGCAATGACACTTATTTAACATTTGTTATGCTCCCATGTGTTGAACACATGGCTAGATGCTCTTCCAGCCATCAGAATTCATGTAATCACAGGAAAGCAGTTGGCATCATAAATAAAGCAAACATGAGAACTGAAAATAAGTGCTTCCTTCTCATGGTAAATTAGAATGATGAACTGGAGTTCAATGCCACTCTTCACCTAACAGCAAAAGGCTCGAGCGTGGTAGACATGGACCATGAGTGTACTTGGAAAATGGTTGATTTGAGCATTTCACTCTCTTGTATATGAAAATCTTGGCTTAGGACCCAATCCTGTGCTAGTCAGCTACATTTGTGATTCATGGAGCCCTTCATGATGGCAATTCCACTTCCTTCACCTACATTTCCTTTTAGTTTTCATTTAGTCTGCATGTAAGCAGCTAATTATCAGTGACTGAACCCTTCAAGGGAACTTGTCTTTGCTCATGTTTGGAATCTGTCATTGACTCTAGGCACCACAAACAGGCAGACCTTTCAAGGGACACAGTAATTTTTTATTTAAAAAGAAGACTTCTTATTTGAGATAATTTTGGAATATGATTCTTAAGTGTATTGAAGGTAATTGCATGTCTTCAAACAAAAATAAATTTTTTAAGTGTATACATATGTATCCATGTGGCAATGGAGTCAAAATGTTCTTTTTGGTTTATTGTGTTGATGTCTTTCCTTTAGGGTATATTGGATTGTCATCGTCTTTGTATCAAACATGGCAGAAATATAGGTAAATCCAATTGTCAGTTCCGTTAGCCTGAAACACTGGATTTAGGTATCTCAAAATTGGAGATAATGTCCTCTCTTTCCCTGATGGCCCTGATGGTTTCTGAATTGGATGGGGAGGTACCTTAAACCTCACCTAAAGCATATTTAGCTAATAAAATAGTGAACATACTCATTTCCCCCGTGGTTCATGTGAAACTGTACTTTCCTTGGACATTTCAAATTATCGTGGGGTTGTGGTAGCATCTTCTGAATCTTCCTACCTTCCCCTTCTCCTTCCATAACTCTGAGTGTATGACTTTGACTGACAAGTTCTATTTGAACTCTTTGTCCTACAGATCCAGACACTGCTGATCTGTGTATAAAAAAAAAAAAAAAAAAAAAGAAGTAATTGCATAAAAATTACATTGTAAGTGTTAGAGCATTACAAATGAGGTCAGAGTTGGTTTAGTGAGCTTACCAGCAAACAGGCCAGCAGATTCCAAGTTTGTTTGGGTTTGATGTTATTATTTGCTTTTTCCAGCAAATGTACATGTTAAAAAATTAGGTTTTTTACAGCACAAAAATGAAAACAAAGTCTTTTCAACTCTTTTCAACACTTCCACAAAGGTTAAAGGTTAGAGGCCTGGTTTGAGGTCATGGACTCAAGTCTACTCTTCATCATCAAAAAAATACCTGTCTTCATCCTCAGCCACTGACATTTTGAAACAAAGGGGCTTGAGTGATACTTTTTCCACAACAAAGCCAAAAACTTAATTGACTTAGTAGTCATCTTTCTGCCTGTGCCTTTCTTCAGTTTAACAGATGAAGATACTTTTAATCATATTTTCATAAAATAAGCTTCAGATATCTTTACTTGCAATCCTGTAAGTGACTCTTGGGACTCTGACATCAGATTCCTGGAACTATTTCCAAGTTTCTTTGGATTGCTCATGAGTTGTCAAATAGATCAGCAGCATGGTTTTGTGAATGCAAATGTGCCAGTATATAGAAGCATATCACTATTAATACTCCTTAGTAATTCATCAAACATTTTTATATTACTTTCTTCTGCAGGTTAACATATTTATATTCTTCATTAGTGAGTTTATTATCAGACTATATTATCTTTTTAAAAGTGCATGTTAGTGTGTGTGTGTGTGTGTGTGTGCATACACACTCTGCACCCCCAGAGTAAGTTTTGTGTCACAAATCAAATACTATAATATGATCAGTTACACAGTGTTTTTTTTGAACCAGGGTCATAAATATTTCTTTACCAGACAAAACCAATGTTGCATGGTAATACACTTTATTTTGTATAGTTTCTTTCAAGGACATTGTCTCAAATACGTCAGAGGTAATTAACACAGTGGCGGGTTTTAAAATAAAACCAGTTTTAATTTAATGAAAATTCTAAACAACAGTATCAATAGACATGCTTCTGAACGCACATGCATCCTAAATGTATAAGGGCAATTACACCTGCAAGAGCTGTGCAGCTATTTAGATTCTTTTTTCTACTGGTTTGATGAAGTGTGCTCTTAGCAAGGGGAATAGTTGGCATCTTTACTCAGTGATTCTGAAAGATGATTCTTTATAAAAACTACATATACATGTTAGGACTCTTGATGGAGAAGTAGGAGGGACAAGGTTTTTTTGGGTTTTTTGGGAGTTTCTTGCGGATTTTTTTGCTTGTTTTTCTTTTATTATTTTTCTTTTTTTTTTTTTTTTTAAATCAACATGAGACTACCAATCCCAGTAGAGTAAGACAGCTCTACTATGAAACTGAAATTAGAATAATGAATCACATTATCATGGTGTAAAAGCTGTGAAATTATTAAAATTTCACAATAGTGCTACTGAGTTTTCCTGGTGAAACACTCAAGCTGCCTGATGGACTCAGCAGACAGCTGCTCACCACCATGCATTTGACTTCTTCCAGCACACACTTCTTTTAAGACACACCTGTGCAATCTAAAGGTTTTTGGGGTTTTTTTGCTTGCATTTAAAGACAAAATCACCTCTGAATCGTGGTATTTTTCCGTTGTCTGCACTATGCAGTTCTATCATGCACAGGAGGACAGCTGCTCTGGCCCCACCTGGGCCACAGGCAGCAACCAGGGATCTCTGGTCTGACCAGTTTGCTGTTCTGGATTATCACAACATCCCTACAAAGACTGTAGTGACCTAAAGTGCTTCAAGAAATCAAATGTGGGATCACTGATACTATTAAGCAAAAAATGCTTCTTTGTCCCTTTCTTTTTAAGCCCCCTATTTACTGTACATACTTCCTTTTACTATGTACTGGCCCTTAATAAGAGCTTAAAAACTAGAATTAATTACCATTATTGTTGCTTCATTTTTGGAATTAAAATGGATTTTATTGGAGCCAATAAGGACAGAGCTAATACATATATATATATATACACCTATTGCTGGTTTTGGAGACAACCTTTGCACTTCTCCAACTCTCAATACCTGGGTGAAGACTAAGCAGGAGTGCAGACAAAAAGAGTAAGCTTAAGAAGCAGAGATTACAAGTTCTGTTACATGACTTGCTACCATCCTGTTCCAGGCCAGTAGGAGGCAGCTCTGTGATTCATAGAAATTCCTCAATTTTGTGACATCTGTGAATATAAATCCCATTGCATTACATACTATTTAGTTTTCTCTTCCAGATTTTTTTTAAAGAAGGAACTATGATGAAAGACGTGATAGTTCATCCTAAAATGTTACAGAGTTTCGCCGTCTACTATAAATGACATGAGAGGGTCGATGCTCTACATACATAATTTATTACCAAGTGGTGGGACAAAAAAAGCAAATGCTATTGACAGTCATTTTTGTGCCATCCCGTTAACTTTAATCTTGTGTGGCAAGGAACTTTAGTTTCTTATCTGTTGTTTTTTTTGTTGTTTTGTTTTATTTTTTTTTTCCTAAGGGGTCATCATTATTTTACTGTGTCTTTCTGTAGGATTGGAAAGGAAACTACTTCTTTTTCCACAGATTTCAAGTTCAAAGCTGTAAATTAAGGTTCTTTTCTATAATTCCAATGCTCCATGCACATGTTTTTAAATATTCAGATGTGTTCTGAAAATAAAAAAAAAATTAGGTAATTTTATATTCTCCTCTTTCAGAAAGGGACAACTCTGGAATATAAAGCTCTTTAATCTCCTAGGGGTAAAAAGGCAATTTAAGCTTCCCAGAACAACTTCAAGAGCTACCAAGTGTTATTAAGATAGCTACCAGTGTTATCAAGATAGCTACCAGTGTTATTAGAGTAGCATAATTTTTCAGAAGATCAACTGTAATGACCTCCATAACTTGGATTTAGATTCAGAGGTTGTTGATACAACCTTATTAACACAGACAAACGTCTCCATCTTCACTTATAATATCACCTGGATGCACAATTTAGGAAGGCTAAAATGCACAAATTCTGCTGTTACTAAGAAAAAGAACAGTGGGGGAGATTCCACATAACAGTTCCATTGATAAAGAAGAAAGATGTGCAAGTGTTCAGGAAAGTTAAAGGCATGGAATGATTAAAACTAACAGGAAAAAATATTCCAGTGAATACAGTCAAAAAGCAGTTCTTTAATTTTTAAATTTGCACAGCAATAACAGAGACAAATGAGCCTCTGAAATATTTTGGAAATGTCACTTTGCAAACCTTGTAGATTGCTAAATGTTTATTAAAATGGACCAAAAGCCAAAATTCTCTCGTAAAATAAATACTTTGTCTTTGCTAAGTAACAATATTTGTGAACAAAACATAAAACTGTAATTTTCATGTGTCAAACACAGTAACATTTAAGATTAAATGCTGGAGTCAGACTGGACATTTTTTTCGTCTTCCTATTTACAAGCTGCTCATTAGGACCATTTACCTCACGTTAGCTATTAAAATGACTAACATTTTTAAAGTTTGCTCCATGACTAAAATAAAAACAACAGAAATGTCCTTTTACCGTAACTTAACAAAAAGCAGAACCATATTTTTGTTATCTAGAACATACTGTTATAAATACAGCTGTTTTTCATCTACGGTTGTATAAATAATAAGCATGCTGCCATTCACAAGGATTTTCATAGATGATTATGTATAAGCAATATTACAATCTAGCAGAGGATGGCATGAGTTTTTATCTTTCATTTTTACTCTACTTATTCAGGACCTTTGTCTTCATCTGAAAATTCTGGAACAGACTTCTTTGCTACAACATTATCCAGTCGCTGTCCTTGCAGATAGGGGTTCACGCTCTGAAAAAGTTTAAAATTATTTAAACTTATTAGAAACAGGGAAACATATAAAAGGTAGCTAGAGTTACTAAATGTATTTATGCATTTCTTTTCTGTCAAATACTTGCAAACTGGGAAAAAAATTGCTTCCAGGGATTAAATCTAAAACTGTTTTGTTTCTACAATTTTTTTTGGTGCAAGAATTTAATTCAATCCACTGAAAGGAATACAAGTGAAGGAGGACTAGCAAGAATACAGGACAATCTGAATTAAACACTGCCTTTTTGCTCTGTACCTCCTTTCCCCAGCTCAGCAGAGAAACCACAACACATCTAACTCCCTAATCCTTGAGGCAGAACAGGACTTGCTAGAGAAGTACAGGTAAGCTTTAGCTTAAATCACTAGATGCTGATGGATATTATGCTGAGAGACAAGTCAGAGACCACCAAACCATTTTGACCAAAGTCTCTTCTTCAGCCCATCTCCTCTCCAGGAAACCCCTCCTTGCTTCCTCTCTTGATGCTGAGATAAAAAACCTGGCACAAAAGCAGAGCCAAACAAGGTTTTGGCATAGAAATTGGCTCTCATACCACTACCAGAACAAGGGAATGCTGGAAAGAAGATCCCTGGAGAGGGTTTAACTTCACTTTGCACTATGAAAGCAGCACAGTGTGAGGCTGAAGATGAACAGATCCTGTCTCAAAACTGGAGATTGTAGATGAAGTAACATAGAAAGCCTATGCTTGAATTTTCATCTATATCAATGGAATAAAATGTATTTACCCTATTTACAAATAGCAAGAAGTTTAGTGGCACTTCAGTATTAAATATCATTTATACCTGCTTTCTAGCCTCTTACAGTGTCTATATAAACAAAATTCAAGTATATACTTTCTCCTTCACAGATATAGACAAAATTTCTAGGTTTTTGATGCCATAAAAATTGTTTGCTTAAGGACAAACTTTGGAGGAATGTAAATTTTCCAGTATCTCCTGATTCTTGTCAGGCTGACTGTGTTACAGAAATTACTTTTCTTGAGATATTCCTGTGGTTCTTTCACCAGAACTTAGGAAAAAAAACAAAACAGCAACAAAAAAAAAAGGCATTCAAAATAGGCATGAAATATTTCTTTTCAAATATCCCAAGTATTTCTTGAATCTCTGGAAAAGATTTGGGGTTTGTCTGCCTTCAAGTTTAAGCCCTTGGGTTTCTCCAGTTTTGTGGATGCTATCATTAATACTTAATCATAGTACAGAGCAGCCCTTTTGCTTACTTCCATTGGGTTTTGAGTGTTTTGCCTGCTGCAAGTGAAAACATAAAAATATTAAGAACCAGAAATGAATGTGGAAAAATCCTTGAAAATAAACTAACTCTAATTTAATGCTTTAAATTGTTAGAAATAAGACATATGTAAATGATTTGTTTGTGTTTGTTTAAAGAAGTTCTGTTTAATGTTAATTTAGTGAAATTCAACTGTTGCATAAACTTCTAGGAATTATTTTAGATTCTTAGGAAGATTAATTGGTCTTTTTTTTGGAATGGTACTTTTTTGCTACTTTTTGAAATAAAGTAGAAGGGAATGAGACTACATAAAAATGTAAATCCTTCTCAACAGACAAAAGAAAACAAAATATAATGTAAAATATTTTGGCTGATTTGTTAAAAAAAAATGTTTAATTCTATGCAGCTGTGCAGAATTCAAAGCAATGCAAGTTCCCAAGCACCTTTGTGCACAGCTCTGAGCCCACAGCGATGTGACTCGGGGACTACAGAAGCGCTCCTGACACTTCAGGATATTATATTATATTCTGGACAGAACTAAGCTCATGCACAGAAATGTAAAAAAGGGGAAGATTGATAATTAAAATTAGATGTCATGTAGGCTTCCTTGTCTTGCTCTACCAGCGCTACCAAAAAAATAACACAGTAGAAAATGGTAAATACACACCTTGGCTCTATGTACTGATTATGTGTATATGTGCTTGCAAGTGTATTTATATGCATACATATAAATATATGAATATGCAACACATATTTAGAATATGTGGTTTCCTAGACCTCAGTAGCGCCTCTGTGACTGTTACACTATAGCACTGCACATAGACACAACAGAGTTGCTACCTACATGGTTCCATAGGACTTGTTTTAAGCTAAAATGGGGACAATCAGACCTGAAAGACCAATTTGTTGCAAGATTCCGAAACTCTATGTCTGTGCAGAAGAGCATGGAAGAGTGGCAGGGAGTACAGAAGGCGGGAGTGGAATCGGGTAGACATTTAGCTTTCTGGAAAAATACACTCTGCAGCTGACACCTCTGGGTTACCTTTCTGCTGATAAAGTGTTCATTAAAGCATTAGTAATCATTTCAGTATTATTGTAAAATACTTTCAATTCTAACGAATTTACCATTAGGTGACGTGCCCGTGCTAGCAAAATAAATCTGCTGCAAAGCAAGACACCGAAGTTTCATCTTCAAAATTCTGGGCTACCCCTGGCCATGTAGCTGTCATGTCTCCAGTGATTTCTTGTTTTGTAATCAATTACATTAGTCATCTCACAGATAGAAAGTATTTTTCTTTTTTTCATTTTTTTTCTCTCATGTATATGTTCCATGAGTTCCACTTTAACATGTTGTTCTAGCTATTAATAAATATTCCACGAAACTTGAAAATTAAAATCAGGTGTCTACCCTTTTTCCTTTTCCACTAACAAACTCAAAAATCAAATGTAAGCAGGAGGCAGACACTCAGATCAGGTCAGATCATTACTCATGGCTGAACAGTGTTGATTGCCAGTGATGTGTGAATTTGTAAGAAATCAGCTTATCTTCTCCCTTTCTGGCAAAGACTAGAAGTTTGAGAATTAAATAAATAAATAATCTTCACTTATGCTTGCTATTTTGAATTAATTTTACTTCATTTGCAGTATAAACTGTGCTGTCATATTTTAAAAAGCTACTTTCTGGCAGAGAGCTAGACTTTTAAGAAAAACAGTACACCAGCAGCAAAGCTGGTCTGAAAACGATTTTTTTTTTTTTATAAAAGAAAGGCTGATGCTACCAAAAAAGAGATTGTAGTGAGACAGGCTGTGCAGAGGTTCTCTGTGATACATGGATTGCCTTCCTTGTTCCAGGAGCAGAACAATGAGAGCCCAGTCATCTTTGTCTTTCAAGCAAGTGGGACATAGAGATAGAAGTTTCATCCAAGATAAACTTTGCTAAAGAACCACTTCTAGTGTCATTTCCACCCTAAAGACATATTCACATGCATAGACAGTGGTAATTAAATTTACTAATATTTTTGTTAGGGAACTTTTAAATTTTCTTTTAGAGACATTTAAATAATTTTAAATGGTTTTATGCAGATAGGATCAATTTTAAAACACAGATAATATGAACTTTTATAGTTAATGTTCTACATTGAAGTGCATCTTCTGAAAGCAGAAGGCTGTTAAGGGAAATAAATCTTGTACCCGGTGTACAGTCCTGAAGTTGGCTATATAGTTTACAGAGATTCTCTGACTTTACACATTACCTAAGATATAACACAAATGCATTAGATTAACTCTTCATTTCAACAATATGATTTTAATTCTCTCTAGATTACACAAGGTGAGAAATGATTGCAATAGTTACCCTCTTTCTTCTTTTTGGGCCACCACTGATCTTTTCAAAGAGTAAATTCTTGCTCTGGAAGGGAAAAGAAATAAACCAGCCATCAAATTCATTACTCTTTTTTTTAAATTACTATTTTTGATGTTAAATATTAGCAAGTTTAGAGGGGTGTGCAGTTTTATGGGAAAGATAAAGCACAAATAAATATTTGGATATTCCTGCTAACATTTGAAGTTCTTCAGGAGCAGTCACAGCCTTATCAACAATTTAAAAGCCAGTAACAGTAATTTTCCAGTATGTTGCATTATGTTATCACCCATGTTGAGGCAATAAGTGCTTCAAGTACACGCTGGTATAATGATACAGTCTGAATATTCCCCATCACATGATACATGTCATAAATACATATATACTTTTTTTTTTTAAAAAAAAAAAGGGCAAAAAGAAAAAGGGAAAAAAAAAAAAAGAGGGAGAGGAAGCAGGAGTCCTGCCTATGGTATATCTTTTTATACATGTGAGGTGACAGAAGAACAGGAGCAAAAAAATATTTGCTTTATAAGGGATTTTCTAATTCCTTTTAAAAACAGCAATAGGCGTCATTCCTACTGTTTTGTTGTCTTTGCTTATTCCCTTCCAGATATCAACACTTCCCAGTGCAAAGTTCTGTTGAAAGGAGTTCAGCGCCAACTCTTCCTTTGTTTAAGTAGTGCCCTCAATAAAGTTTCTAAAACCCATTTAGTCTATAACATTTTTAATAGCAAACCTTTTAAAAACTGCCAGAAACATCTTGGCAGAAGAGAAAGTTATGATGATGAGAAAAGAAAAAAGAAAAAACCCCAACACAGAAAAATCCCTCTGACCATAGTTTACATAAGTGCATCCACATATTGTTGTATTTCTTACAAGTAGTGAATTCTAATAAAGTCTGGAACAACACACACATGCTCACCACATTTTGTTTCAATTGTATATTATGAAGAAAACCAAAACCAAACCCTAACCTGAGAATGGAAGAAGAGAAGAATTACATGTATAAAAGCAGAAGACTGTATAAACAAGGCCATTAATTCTGCTATAAACAACTGACCTAACACTGATTATATAAATAGAAAGTGTAATTCTAGCGCAAGACAAATTCACCAAACACTTCTACCCTCTCTGCAGCCTTGATATGAGAAAAAACAAACATTTTTGAGTGTTACAATGAAATCTGCCAAAATTGTCTGTTTTCTACTTCTCATGTTCATTAGACCCCAAATTCACAAGGCCTATCTCTTGCCCAACCTCAGTTATTTTGTCTGAGCTGTGCCAAAAAGGAATAGAGATGAAGTTGGCCAAGGGGGACATTCTTGGTTAGTCATTTATGCAAACTCACTTCAGGAAAAGTTAAATTTAACACTTTAAGGAAACTCTCATATTTGCATTAATTATTCTCTTTAGGAAACAAAGCACCACCAAAGCCTTTCTTTGTAAACTCTTTGACCTATACGTTTCATGAGAGGAAAAATGGTGTTTCTGAAACAAAAAGAATTTCATTAACTACCGGGCCTAACATGTCTGTCCCTCAGAAAAATTCCTTACAATTGAACTGTTCCTGGTCAAGAAAATCATATTTTGTTTAGTCTGCTTTGGAATGTTTTAGGACCATAACTACTGCTTCAGCATTATGTGGAGTACGAAGCAAATAAGGTTACGGAGCATGAGCTAAGAACATACTTGTATGGTAATAACAACCCTGAAAATATGTTCCACTGCGTAATGGCCTGATCTCATCAGCCACCAAAATTTGCCTGGCCAGTGCCCATCCTTCACCAAGAGGTTGTTAGGAATGAAGGCACAGTTAAAGATATATGGAGAAATGCTGCATGTGATTTGCTACTTTCCTATCAGTCTTGGAGCTTCCTTTGCACCCTCCTGGCTCCTTGGATTAGGGTACTACAGGCTGGGGTTTGGGTGGGAAAAAAATCAGAAGTTAAAATGCTTACAACCAACTAACTAATGCCAGAGAGATTTACTCTTTGGAGTATTTCAGGCTGCGCCGAATCTTCAAGTCAGTATTAATCAGCAATTCTGTAACGTGCACCTGCACAACTATTGAGCAAAACTGAAAAGCAACAGCAAGGTTGTACCCTTTCAGGAGGGCTTTTTCTTTGAGTCAATTTCCAGTGTTGTCAGGAATATCAAGCATGAAAATTTCCATTACATCAAACATATTACACTGAATTATACAATCTGTGCTGTCTAAAATAGAAGAGGGGGACCAGACCTGTCATAACATATCTTAATAATCACCATTACCATCCAGATATTTAGCAATATAAGTTGGTAAAGACAGATGCACTTAGGGCTGTTCACTGTAACTGTGGTTGGAGTAAAATAAATTCTGAGAGACTAGTTCAGGTTTCTATTAAAATTAGGAAGCCAGAGATAGTCACTAAAAAAATTATTTCACCTTTATAGAACATTTTAAGCCCTCCTTCCCATTTGCTATTCTTTGTACTGTCTTGGATCCCTCCCCTGTGACTGATAAGTCAAACCAACATTATTTCTATCCTTAGAGTGAAACATCATCCATTGCTTCAGTACAAAGGAGTGTTTCTGAAAAACATAGTTGGTTTTAATTTTCTGTTTGTACTGATACTGGTGTCAGAAAACACAACTAACTTCCCTTCTCCTTTCAACCCCTACATGTGCTACTGGTTAACACCTTGGGTTTCAATAAATAACAACTTACATGTAAGTGGGTTTTAGATTTGTATTGTAAATTGTATACTGTAAATGATCTTTGTGAAAGTCTTTCTGAATGACAACAACACATCTTCAAACCATCTAAAGAGATGAGTTGCAAAAAAGGCAGACTGAAATGGAAAATATCTGTGTCCAAGGAAAAGTCTGAACTGAGGGGAAAAAAACCCTGAAGTCTTAGAAACTATACTTGCACACTAGGGTAGCAACCTCCAAAAGTCCCTCATCTTACTATTCACACTGTCCCCTCTATGTTGTCCCCATATGAGGACAAGAAAAAAAAAAGAGTCTTAGAAGCTGGGGATGAGAGTATAAGCTGTGCATCTCACTCTATAAACAGAGTCTGTTCCTGAGACTTCCCACAGGTCAGCATATTAATATATGGGGAGTCGTTCCAAAGACATAGAAATTCTTCCTCTTTCTTCCCACTCCTAACCCAGTACACATTTGTCATGATTTACATATTTATATCTTCATATGTATTAGCAGTATTTACACATCATATTTAGCATCTACATGGAACCATATACTTTGCTGCATGAGACAGCTTCTAGACTTGCTTGGCCCTTATAAAGTGTGTCTGTTATTCACATGGTACTGCAGAGGTCTCACACTTTGCAAGCATGACAGTCTCTCACCAAAACAAACCAATCAAACTGTTTCTTTCCCATTAAAGCAAGTGAGTCTTTTTTTTCCCGGTCCACTAATGTAATTTGGATTTTACTGTTGCTATGTTAAGGAATGCATGTTGGGTCCTGGAAAGGACAAGTCACTGGGAACTGTAACAGTGCCTAAACTGCACTGAGGAAGGAAAAGGCAGGAGAAAAGCTCCCCCAGGAACACATGGCAGCCCACATGGGTCCAGGAGACACACCGGCTCTGAGGGCTTCAGATGGTGGTGACAGCCTTGCACAAAGGGCGTGCAGGAGCTGGTGGAAACACAGTCTTTAAGCAGACAACTTAAGTAGACAGACCTAGTGGCGTTTAGTCCGAGGCTCTTCGACACAAGAAACAGGAACAAGCTGTTGGTGGGCAGAGGGAATTTTCGTGGTTGGGGGCAGCGGGAGGATAGGATGCACACAGCTACCAGCTGGGCAGCCCACAGCCAACTGTGTTGGTCATTTACAACCTAATGCAAATGGCAATGAGTGACCTAAAAGATCTGATCTACTTTATCTCCCTTTTATGAAGTCTCAAACAAATAATTTTTAGAGTGCTTCTCTGATTTTTCCAGAGAGTTAAAAATAACAAAACCAGCCATAAAAAGATACCACTGTATTTATATTTTTAACATGTAGTAATATACAATGAGGAGGTAATGAGGCAATTCTCCTGGATCTCGGCAGAACATTTGCTCATGCACATGACCAGCTGTTTCATCTCTAATTAGAAAGATCTGGAGTTGGCTTAGCTGCAGTTAGATGTAATTACTATTTAGTACCTAAGAGTCTGTTTTAATCCATGCATGAGCAGCTTTTTCCCCTGAATTAGTAGTGATGGATGGAGATACAAAAAAAAGTCCAGGATTCACTAATGATTAACTACCATTTATTAAGTATGTGTGTTGCTGATGACAACACGCTTGACTCTGAAATAGTACTAGAGGCCAAAGATTTACAGAAGTGCTTTTATAGTCTTCAAAATGGTATTATGAAAGTAAAGTGAATTCTTATGAATAATAAGAAAATTAACAGCCTTATCTGGCATGAATAAGAAAGTTCACCATCTGGTGGTTTTTTTAGATGAAAACCTTTGATGATAATTACTGACACAAGACTCCAAAATTTGGATTTTTGGCATGATTCTCTCCAGAAATTTAGCACTCACATAAGTAATTAAGACTATAAATCTTACACTGGTTTGATTATGAATGATGACTCATTGTCTCACAATTACAGCAAGAGAACAGGCTGCCAAACATGTCCATTTATCGGTATATGCTTACAAAGCACTGGTTTAGGGCAATCTTAAGTAAAGTGTTATAGCAATGTAAAATGAGATTTCATTATTTGCTCCAGAAGCATAAATTATGATCATTGTTATTGTTTTCTTGGCGCCTGAAGAGGGATTTGGGATTGGAGATTTTAACTGATGTAATCTAAGATTAAGTGGCAGAGCTTTCTTTGGAGCCTTTAGCCTGCAGAAATAGTCTAGCTGCAGTTATTATAGTCTTTGTATGCTTAGAGCAAGATTTTTCCCCTTAGTGTATCTCACTGTATTTTTTATATGTGATGTGTCAAAGATATTTTCAACATAGCGCACAAGCTGAGCAGAGGAAGAAGCAGCATCAAGTCCTCAAAAATCCTTAAGGCAGAGAGGATTCTTTGGAGCAAGCTGTCTGGTCCTAGATTTTTTAAGGTGTTTAGGCATTGTTGCCCTCCATCTTTTTTTCTTTTCCTTCTATTTTTTATGTAAGTAGGTGAACAATGAACCTGGATATTCTTTCGGATTAGGGCCCTGTTATGTTTTGAAATCTTGTCCTAAGATCTGCACTAATTTTAGCTACTTATTCACTGTTGTTTGAAATGCGTTTTTTTGCATTTATCAAGTACATACATAGCTGTCATGCTTTGGGGCAGGTAATAAACCAAGGATTTCTACTTTCTATTTTTCTGGAGTGTGTATCAATCATAAGCACTATTTCTGTATTTTTCAGGGCAAGTTGACCTTTTTTGAGCAGTTTCCCTTAGGGTGATAAGTTTTCTAGCAATAAGGCCAGTATTTTCCTCATGGTTTCATAGTATCACACACAGCAGACTATATTCAGTTTCACATGCAAAAAAATAAGCAAGAAGCATGTACTCACCCACTTGCCCACGTTGGGGTAGTCATGCTCTGGATCAAAAAGGTGTTGGTGTAGCTGGTATTCCCTGCTGAACTCTGCTGTGTCAGGGGTGTTTTCCAGACACCCATCATCAACTGCAAAAGTATGTTAGAAAGCACTGAGTGCTTAGTAGCTTTGAAACACACAATATGTGCCACATCAGTCATCAAATTTCTTAAATGCAATCATGCAGTTAATAAAAATAAAGAACTGGATGACTAGAAAATACTAGTTTTCTTTTCTTTTGAAATGAATTTACCAGGATGTATTTAATTTAAAAAAAAAAAACCAAAACCTTGCAACTTAATGAAACTTCAAAACTAAACAAAATTTATCTTCCAAGCTCTCCTCCTCCTTATGTTTTTCTTTTCATTATTGCACTGATTTTATGTAGAATTGCGTCTTGCTCTGATTCAGAAGGGGTCTTCTTTTCTTTTTTAAATCCTCACTGGTAGTTTTAGAAATTGTTTAAGCAATACTTTTGAAGGTCACGTTAAACACTGCTGTGAACAAAAGACTGACTTTCCTTCACTGAGTAGCTCTTCACGGAGCTCCATTTCTGGTGTGCTGCTTTGTTCAAATTGGTATCATAAAATCTCATAAAAATGCAATGTGGCAGAAGTTTTATGATGAAGACATTTCTGCAGATTGGTAACGAATCTGATTGGTCCAGAAACCTCCCTTAACCACAGCTGATGGTTCTGTAGACAGTGTCACGTCAAGGTAATACCCATTTAAAAATCAACTTACAGTCTTTTTACCAAAACAAGTCATCTTTAGATTAAACAAAGTTTCAGCAACTTGGGCCCAGAGTATTTCTTTGGATAGAGTCTGCTCCTGGAGCTCCCTCTGCTTTGCCTGCATGGGGAGCTTGCAGTCCAAGTTCTCTCAGACACGCTGAAGGAGATCCTTCCAGCCAGGGCATAATGCTGGGCATCCAAACAGCTACATCTGCCAGAACACAGGCACTCTGGAGAACACACCTGTTCACTTTCCCATTTGTGCTTGTGTGTCATCATGTGAAAAGATTTGCAGATGGATTATTTTTTTCCCTTAGATGTGGGAAACAGTAAAGGCTTAACTTAAAATTGAGTTGATTCAATGACCTGACGAGGTTATTCTGAGTTCAACAGATCCTGCTTTCCCTATATGCTTCTTAGGATGGGGAAAAAATTAGGTTGCCAATAGAGAACAGGGGAAAACTATACGTATTGGTGAAGTAACTCAGAAATCATTAAAGTACTTAGAAATTATTTCAGTCCCAGCAGGGACAAGGTTATCTCAAGAGAGAAACAGGTGACAAGAGAGGTGTGGTAAATCTCAGAGCATGCGTGTCTTTTGCTAGAAAACACAAAGGGCAACTGGACATATGTGTGCCCTCTGTGAATGCTAATCTAAAAGTCTTCAAGCTCAAGTGCTCCAGGCTTATGTATTCCTGCTGTGGAATGTGCATATGTAGACAGTGACTGGAAAAATTGTTTTCCATTAAGCAAATCCACAGACCTGATTGAGGAAGGCCTCTGGTAATTTGTATGCATAATACAGTCAGCACTTGAATTTCCATTTAAGGCTCTGAAAAACATTTTACTCTAATCCTAGTAGATACTATCTTCACTCACAGCATTACCTACGGCAGAGCCATTTATCTGAGCAGGCAGCACTTCCCTAAGAATTCCCCCTGTGTTCAGATCTGACTGTATAAGCTTAGCTAACAACTATTATTTTGCCTAAGAAAGAAAAATTGAAGGGATTTTCAAAGGCATTTCCCTGGATGCCATTTTTAAATCTATTTATCTAATCACTAACAGAGGTCTAATGGGCAAGCACAGAAGATAGAAAGTCTGTGTGTGTGCTCATGTGTGAGAAAACCTAAACCCATCATTTGCAACCTGTCAAACAGATATATTGAAAAAATTGGAAGTGGAGGTATCATTTCAGAAGAGATGTAGACATCATCACCAAATGGGCTGTAATAGAAAACAGTAAGGAATGGCTATTTGAAATTTTGTCAAATTTTTGAATGAAACGCAAAAATACTTCACAAAACCTTCCATGACAAATATTATTTTTTGATGAATTCTAAGCTAGTTAGAACATTTTTAAACAAGAATACAGACAACTGTTCTGCATTATCCAAATAACATAAAAGAAGACTAAACAGAAAACATTTTGAAAGGATATCTTAGCTCACAAATAAAAAATGAGAGAAAAATAGAGTGCTCATTCCGAGTTCGAGCTCCCAAGGCAGCCAAGGAGCGTTTTACTACTGCTTTCAGTACTGGAATCCATTCCTTGGCTCAGATAGCAGCAAAATGATCAGTTCTCTTAGAGTATGTCTATATCGTGCACATGCAGAGCTGCTTTAGTGATCCTTCAGCAGGGCTGGCTAAATGCACAGTTGCAAGCTGAGGGACGCACTGGATGTCTGGGGCACCACTCTGGCACTCAGAGGCTGCACTGTTCTTCTGCCACTGAGCATGCATGCAACATCTTGGGGTACATCCACATAGTTCTCCCTTTCTTGGCAGAGATGCACCCTCAGTGAGCTATAAAGACACATGGATTGGAGCCAAGGTATCTTAAATATTGACTCATGGTCTGGGTTGGAGATCAGGGCAGACAGTTTCATTCCTCTTGGCACAATGAAAGTCTCTAAAATAAGGGACTCTACAGAATGATAACTTTTTTCAGGGGCCAGCCTAAAAATGAAGTCCCTTGGGAAAAAGATGCTATCGTATCGTAAATCTCACTATCTTCTACTCCGAGGTCAACATAGCTTTTTTCACATGACCTTCTCTAGCAGTCATATAGCAATACTGAAGGTGCAAATATTAAAAAAACAAACAAACAAACAAACAAACAAGCTCATCTGAAAACACTAAAACACAACAGTTATACTCCTAGGGTAGAGGATGAAAGAAAACACTCATTGCTGTTTTAAGTGTCATTCAGTACTGAAAGACTGGAAGATGTAGAGTGAAGACAGAGGTACAGAGGCTACAGCCAAATTACCTGTTTTTCCAATAGGGCAGGGATTTGGAGGGTCAGGATAGCCTTGATCTTCACTGAAATCCTTTGGTACATTATCACCTGTCAGCTCAGCCACAATGTTTGGGATATTGCCATAAGGACCCAGGTGCTGAAGACCCTCATGTGCACCACCTAGCAAAGACAATTTATACACACAGTCTTTTCACAAGATTGAAAGTGTAAATGCTTTAGCTGTTTCAATTAATTCAGACTTTGATTTAAAATATATTTATCTCTCTATATATGTAATTGTTTTAGAGACAGATCCAAGTTTAGATTTTAAGCATCTCTTTTAGAAGTTTAACCATGTGACCTAAATCCAGTAACTTAGGTAATGAAAAATAAAACTAGCAAACAAAATCAGCCACATATTATTATTTTTAAGGTTGTCTTTCTCCTTAACAATGGAAGTTTTAGGCAATAAAATGCAAAGAAAAACAAACATGAGACAATAATGAAATTTGATACATTTGCTGCACAATCATCTTCAATAACTGATATTGTTCACTGTAGCAACTAATAATAGAAGATATGACAAGATAGCAGCACAGCAAGAATACAAAGTTGATGACACTGTAGAAAAAAATAACACTATCTGCACAGCCTAGAAATACATTAATAAAATAAATCCCAAGGGGACTTAGGGTATTAAGGTCCTTGGGGACCCAGAATATTTAGCAAATTTGGTTGTATCCACCTAGAAAAATTATTTTTAATTCAAATCAATTCTTAAATGTAAATTTGCACTTCCTGCAGTAATGGTGAAAAGTGATGAAGAGTCCCTGTTGTTGATGGGAATTCTTGCACATGTATACCTACATAGTAGTAAATTTAGTACAAAACATCACATTCAGTGACTTCTACACCTTTACTTATCGGTTCTAGATGCAGGCTTTTATATTTGACCTGTGGGACTCTGATTACCATCACTGCAAGGTTACAACAGCAGTGTGCAGCAGGTTTTATAACTCAGTGACAGGGGACATGATGATGGGCCCACTGTTCTTGGGTAAATGCACACAGAATTGGTGTGCTATGGCCTTCTTCTACACATCTCAGCTGGGTGCCTTGCCTTTGAAAAGTAGGGTCTTCCACTAGGGATTTGGGAAACAAGCTCAGGCCACTCTCTCTATGTGCCTCTCTACAAATATTTATCTGCCTCAGATCTTTTCTGCAAGCTTTGTTGATCAAATGCATCCACAGGCTAAACCCCAGCTGCTTGTGGAGATTTCTAAATGCAGTTATACACTATTCTTTTGAATTTCAGACCAATAAAAAGTTACTTTCAAGTGTGTTCTTTTCTCTGACATAAGACAGCCACCATACACTGCAGCAACTGAGATGGTTTTGTGACAGCAGCACAATATTTTTTTAAAACCCTATCCAAAGAGGGGTAATAACATACAGTAAACATATAAATTAACAATGAATGAGAAGAAAAGGAATTTGACCAATTGGAAAATATGAGTTAAAGAGTAAATGCAGACACAACTGTTTGGGTAAATAGCATAATCACCATATTATCACCAAATAGTCTTATTTTCAATTTATGTATTTTTCATAGATCCAGAAGATGGGAATAAAGCCTCTGAACATGAAAGTTGCTCCAAAGGATTCATTCAGGTACTCCTGTCCCAAATTACAAATAAATATTACCAGCCTAAATCATTTTTTATACAGCTAAACATTGTAAGCTAACATAATCACTTGTAAAAATTGCAAATATAAGGCAGTCAAATACAAAACACAAATTTTATATTTTTTTTCTCCATTTAAAAGTGGTAGTTGAGCCAAATTGTTTATATTTTGTAAATAATCAGTTGAATGTTTGGTACCAGAAGCAAGTTAGTCTATAAGCCTATATATTTCTATTTTATTTGCACAATAGTCTAAAATCTAATCAGTGTGCTAATTTTTCCCCTCAAGTACAAATCTCTTACTCTGTAATGCAATGTTGCAGAAAAGTTTTACAGATATGTAACAAACATAAAAGTACCCCTATAAAGAATTTACATCTCTGTTATATAGGGTTTTCATTTGTAGCTGACCATGAGACATGGTACTAAAAGCAGAATAGCATTAAACACACTATGAACTTTATTATACATTTACGGTCCATAGTCCACACAAAGACGATCCTTGGAACACAAGAACGTTATGGTGTTGAGGTTAAAAAACATATAACATACATGCTATCTAATTTAATTTAATATAATGTCTAACGTATAGCATAACATTTTTCTTTTGTACTGATTTCCTTCACATGAAGATTGATTACATATATGTACTTAAAAGCATCAGTTTATGATTCTGCTGTAAACTACAGACCCACATAATCAATACGTGTTTGAACATCCTGTATACAACGTGGTCCACTATGGAACAATTCATCAGATAGAAGCCTATCTATGCTTGTATGTGGTGCAGACCTCTTGGCACCAAAGCTCCATCTATAAAGAAAACAGAGGTACTTAGAAGGCTCCACTGTGCTATATATACATGTAAGTTTAAACTGACTGCCAAGAATCCCCTCGAGTGAGTACAAACCAATCTTTTCATATTAATAAAAAGAATTGTTTCCTTTAGGTATAAATGTCCAGAATAATTTCAGGGTTTTTCCTTTCCTTTCTGTCCAAAAGAGCTGGAGACAATAGCACCTGCTCTGGTGCCATAATTTAGCACACTTGAGTGATTTAATAGCATCAGCAAAATTCATTCCTTATGATCTTTGATAAATAGTGCACTCAGCAAAGACTACAATAATAAAAATGAAATACTATGGATATATCAAATAGGGGTATTATGTACAGAAACTCTCAAGCTGCATTAGGTTTGGTATTATAACGTTATTGATTTGAAAAAAAAATATTAGGATTAAATACGCTGCATCTACCAAGTCAAAATATTGTGATACAAACATATTCAGTCAGCTACAAAAATAGCACGAGATGGATCCCTTGAACCTTTGGGAAGAGTCTGAAAGAAAAAGACAAGACAACTAAATATTGAGGAACTTTTAAAAATTTCCTATTGCAAGCAACCATCAGAGACACCATTGTCAAATTATTCAAACCTGGACTAACAAAAATCCAGAATAGTACAAACACTCTTGGATTGAGAAAGGAATGGCTAGATATTTTTCCCATTTCTCCTTAATTCTTATATGAATAGGCTTTTCTGTGCCACATTCTAACAGAAAGAACCCCTCCAAAATAATCAGCATACAGGATTTCTGTGCATGTAGGTATTTTACATTCCTACAGGATAATCTAGAAGCTTAGGTCTCTTGGGATGAGGTCAGTATTGTCCTAAGTGAGCTTTGGATTCTACTTAAAATATATGCATATATGTTATCATCTGGCACTGGTCTGGAACTGTTGCTGGGTGGAAAACAAAACTGGAGCAATGCCTCACCTTTCTTATAATTCTGGAAAAGTATTTAATTGACTCATCAACTGCTAGTATCACATCTATTACAGATACTTGGAATGATTAAAATTTAAAGTGCATACATTTCAGCTCATTTCTTTGCAGGAGCAATACTGTCTGTATGGGTCTCCCAACCATACAAACAACTTAACCACTAAATTCTTGGAGGGAAAAAGGAAAAAATAAAAGGAAAAGAAACACAACAAGCAACTAGTTTCTTGCAAGCACTGAATATTCCCGTGACCAAACACATCTGATGGAAATGCTGTTAGTCTGCTGAAGTTCTAGCTACTGGTACCCATCTATTGGTAGTGTAAAGCACAGCTGAAACAAATCTGCTGTTGGGAGCAATCCTCCACATCAACTACAAACAGGCAATGCTGTCCCCCAGAAGAGTCAGTTTAAGAAAGTCAATGAGAATGGATTTTTTAAAAGTGTAAAATGATTGCAGAACATTTAAAGAGAAATACTGGGACAAATTTGCCTTTCAGTCTGATTGAAACCATTTCCCATGTAACAGTGAAGATAGGGTTACCCTGCTTACAGATTCAGAAAAGAGGTAATTTTGCCAATCTTAACAAGGAGATACAAAATAGAAAGGATCATGAGGATCTGTCGTGAGTAAATAAATCTGAGATTCCAAATTAAAGCCCCTTACTTTAGAGAGTCATACTAGATGCCTTAGTCTTTGTGTCCAAGTCCCTCCCAGGTGCACAGAGGAGTATTCTCCCTCAGCAAAAACTGCACCTCTTATGGTCTTGACCTAACTCCAAGCAAATACGAGGTGCAAGAGAAGCCTGGTATACTTTGTCCCATTTGCCTCAGATTCCTGAAGAAGTAAATAGATTATTAATCAGAGATGCAATACCATCTTCACTACTTTGCAAAATCTTTTGTTAATCTGGACTATTTGTTCTATTTACTGAGGTTGATTAAGCACAGGAAACGAGAGGCACTGAAAAAAAATATAAATTAACACATTTTGACTATTCCACAGAAGCTGCTAAATAAGAGAATAGGGAAGGAGAAAAGGCATAGGAGAACAAAGAATGGAAAAATGCAGACCTAGCCAACTTCCTTAACCATTCAAGAGCATGCCTCAGGAAACCCAAAAAGACTACAGCTATACATGCTCAGGCATCCCAGATTCCAGAGCCAGCTTGTCTTCTCCTTAATGACATAAAGTTTCTTGAAACTATGAAGACTAATTTTCCTTTTTCTCTGCAGAGCGACAAATTCCTTTCAATGCGTTTTCTAAACCCTTAAGCACACACATCATATAATTACTGACCTTGTTTTCAGTGAACAATTCAGTTTTATCCCATATTTTAATTACAAACAGTACAAATATTTAAGATATGAAAGGCTTTTATTGTGAAATGGTTAGGACCAAAGTAATGCCCATGCCCCTCACAATAAATTTATAACAGTAGCTTATATGTCATTATTCAAATTGTATACACAATAAAAAAAATTCAGCAGCTTACTCTGACAAAGTGAAAAAAGCAATCTCTTAAGCCTGCCTTGGTTGACCAGTCCTCTAATGGACTATATTTACTTGCCCTTCAGTTTGAGCAGAAGCTCTCACACTTCACTGTGTGGATGAGCTTACCCTTTTTACAGACAGTGCACCCTGCAGCACACAGCCATGGGCCCCTCTGCTGCTCTGACTTCAGCCACCCTGCATCAACAGAGTGGGGGAA